CTAAGCCAATTTTTTTGTTCAATTATAGTCTTTTCTGGTTCCTGTATAATAATCTCCCTTCTCGAACATGCTTTATGATTTTTATATTCCTAGTGCATATATGTTTTCTTTATAAGTCAGCTGAAGCCCTCCTTGGAAGTAGCTGCAGTATAAATAATTTCTCTGGAAGTCTTTAGTGACAAAGCCAAATACAGTATTCTTGATTTTACTTCTTCACTCTTTATCTCCTTTTACACTGGTTTCTTCTCAGATTAACTCTTATATTCAGTGAAGTTGATGGAGATTTATTAATGGCTTTAAAACTATATCTTCAGAGTTCACCTTGAGTCTTTATAATCTTCTACAATTAAAGTCTGAACTGCAAGTAAGTTTTTCAGGAAAAGAAAGCTTTTGTGGTTTGATAATAAACTGAGCTCGGCATTGAGAGACTTCCACTTGATTGCAGGCTGAGCTCAGTTGAAGCCTTTCCCATCCTCCTCCTCTCCCAGCCCCAGAAGAAGCATGGTTTGTTTTCCTTTCATGGTTGCCCGCTCTGTCTTGATCTTATTCTTCACATTCTGATCAAATATCTTCTGTAAAAACTTACCCTTGACATTGAGTCCCCTGAAAACAGCCCCTCTCCCTTTTTTAGCCAGATGTCCTGAGATACTCTGTTCACTCTTCCCTTCATTTATAATAATACCATAATTATGTATTGAATACCTACTCTATTCCAGACCTGATGCTAGACACTAGGAACTGTGGCGGACAAGACACCATCCCTGCCCTCATGAGGCTCCATTTCCTGGCCATGCCATTGAAACCTGCTCAGACAGCCCTTTGGAGCCACCATAGTCCCCAGATCCTATGGTTCTTCTCATTCTTCGCCTCAGCACCATCAGACACCAGCAATGATAGTTAATAACATCCTAAAACATAATAATTCACACTTAGAAATCTTCCTGTATGTTCAAGCCCCGTGCTGAGCACAGAAACGATCAAACATAGACTCTGCCTTTGAAAATCCTGCACGTACGCCATAATGTAGCCCAAATGAACAGGACTCCCCCTAAGTCTAGCTTCATAGGAAAAATACTTTTCCTATAAAGGGCAGGGGGGAAGCACTCATATTCCTAAAATTTGCTCACTGTGTCTGCCATTGTTCTCAATATACAAATTCAGATTTATTAACCAGTCAGCAAGAGTGTAATACCCTTTGAAGCCACACTACTGCAAATGTTCACATTCTAATTTTCTCAGGGCACACCAGCCCTTCCAAGAGTTCCCCAGAATGAAAATTATTTGGCTTGATCTTAATCAAAGATATTGTGGACCATAGAAATAGACAAATGGCAATTATGATTTGTTGGAAAAAATATTTTTTTCCTAAGATTTTGGGTAGAGGAGTTCATCCTTTGCTGGCTCGTTAGCCAATGCCTGCTGACGGACTTCCTCAGCCTCCTGTAGAAGGCCCCTCTTTCTGAAGCTGCCTGTAGTGTATTCCCTCCATGGGAGCTACTGTTCCTCACCTCCCCGACAAGCTCAAGGCTTCTGAATCCTTGGAGAGCCAGAGCTGTGTCTTTGGCAAGAGTGGAGAAGAGTGCTTTGTATTTCACAGTATGGGGTAGGGTCAGAGAGTCCCAGGCAGAGTTGCTTAGGCCCCAGAATCTTATCAAAGTGTCAGTGACACCAGTTCCTTTAGTTTGTATGCTCTCCCTCTAACCTCAATATGAGTCTAGAATGGGGACCAAAGTAACCTCAGCTTCTGCTCCTCCAGAAGGCTGTTTGTGGATTAAATTGCTGGCTTATTATGCTCCCATTACATCCCACCCATTTCTCTGGCACACCCAGGGATGTCTGGACCCCCGAAATGGCAGAATCCTGGCTCAAGCTGAGGCAGAGTTCCCCATTGTACAAAGGTGATACATGTTCATGCCAACACTGGGCAAATGGCCCCAATGTGAATCCTCTAGAACCCAGAGACAGCAAGTTCACTGATGAGTCACAGTTGAATGACATCCAGGAGATAAGGGAAGAACCTCATTGTGAAAGAGCTCACCAGACTTCTTAGGTTATGGTTGCTCTGACTCCCTATCAGCATCACTTGAAGTGTTGCCAGAGGAAGGACTTAGTCCACAAACAGATCCTGCCCGTAACCTGGTGGCTCCTGGAGCACGCCAAATGAGTCTACCCTCGTGGTCAGGAGGATGAGGCTTGTTAAGAAAACTTCTATTTATTCTACCTTATAGACAAGCCGTTAGCCCCTCTGGCAGGGCTGCTTGCTAGTCCCTTTGGCACCTTTGTGCGAATTAGGAAGAAGTACCCCCTCTTCTGGGTGGACCCAGCTGCGGATGGAGAAACAGCTTCCACAGCACATGAGTTCTCCAGAGCAGACAGGAGAGGAAACAGTGTGGCATGTGAGAGCCATCATGACCTACCTTTTACATACGGGGCAATAAGCCTAGAGAGGGGAGGGAACTTGCCCACAGTCAGTAGATTGCCCACATTCCTTCTCCGAATCCAGTGTGGGATAAGTAGTAGCTTCATGGGCCAATAGGAGGGAGGGCTTCCTTCCCCAGGGTATGGAGCAAGCTCAGGGACTGACAGACTCAGAGGGATCCTTCTTTCTCACTGTTTAAATTACCCATGTCAGAGAGAGCCTCATGAGGGGCTTGGACAAAAGGTGAGACCTAAATGGAGACAGATGTCTAACAATTTCTTCAGTTCATTCCCCACATCCCCAACCACAGGAGGAGCGCAGCTTTTGTCTGCCTGGAACAGTGGTTCTCAACATTTGCTGTGCCCCAAAATAAAAACAGATCGTGGGCCCAGAGCTGTTGATTCAGTGGGTCGGGGCCGAGCACTTGCATTTCCAACAAGTTCCGGGGTGCTGCTAACGTGGCTGGCCTAGGGACCACACTTGGAGAACCACTGTCCTGGAAATATGGTCAGCCCACCTTTTCCTCCCTCACCCTCACTCTCTTCCTCCCTGTCTCTACCTCTTTCTCCTTTTCTGCTTCCTCCAATTCCTCTCTGGTCCTCTCCTCACCTTCCAAAGCAGGGTGGAGTCAGCTGGCTCTTCCACTGACTGGGTACCTGACTCGGGCAAGTCACCTCCCCTGTCTAGGCCCGAGGAGAGGCATCGGCTAGACGGAGACGCCCCTGCGCAGCTCCTCCCTCGCCAGGGCGGCTGGCCTGGGCTCCCCGTGCAGGTGTGCTTGGAGGGAGCTGCTGCGTGGATGAGATGTCCTTCCAGCTCCCCTCCAGCTCAGAGCCTGGGGTTCTGACCTCTTCTTCCTTCCACATCTAAGCTTTTCTGTCTCCAGTTAGACATGGCATGTGGAGTCTTCTAGGACAAGAGGAGGGCAGGGTAGAGTTCCGAACGTGTTTCCCCGGGCCCGAGCGTTAGGCCGGGACTCCAGCAGGGGGCGCGAGAGGACCGGCCCAGGCGCGTCGGGTCAGCCCAGGTGTGGGGTCCGGGGCCGGCGGGAGGTGACCTGCGCCCCAGGGGCGTGGATTCCGCCCAGGCACTCCCGGCCGCACTTAAGGAGCTCGCACCAGCGTGAGGAGGGAGCAGGGAGGAAGCCCGGCAGCTGCTGACTTCCTCGGACCTGGACCCAGCCCGGCCCCAGCCAGCCCCGACGGCGCCATGCGGGGCCCGGCCGCGGCCCTGTGGCTGCTCGTGGCTCTGCGCACCGGTGAGGCCCCGCTGTGAGAGCCGAGGACGGACAGAGTCCTGGGCTCTGCAGCCCGGGTGAGCAGGTCCCGGGGCTGGAAATGTGCCTGACCCCGGGGGAGTGAGATAGGGGATGCCAGGGCTCGGGGTCGAGTGAGGAGGGAACTAGCACTGACGGGCAGACAGGGAGGTCTGGAAGGCTTCTTGGAGGAGGCGGCCTTGAGCCGGGCCTGGAAAACGTGAGGCTTCGGACGCGCCAAGGAAAAGCGCGGTCTGGGACGTGTTGGGGAGGCCTTGGAGTGTGGAGAGGAGGGCCCAGAGGGCGGCGCCTCCTGACGGTCGCGGGAACCCAGGGAGACTTTGCGGGGCCAAAGCAGCTCTTTCTCCCGAGTCCCCGCAGGAGAAGATTCAGAGGGACTGACCAGGAGGGGCGCGGGAGACTGCCTGGGAGGGCTTGCATTTGCCGGAATGGAGGTGGGACGGAGGCTGGGTTCCCTCGTGTCGGCGCCCCAGGGAGTGGGGGCCCAGGATCGTGGGACGGGAGACAGGACCTCGGGGAGCGGCTCGCAGGGATTGCGGGCGGCTTCCGCTGAGGGGATGGAGGTCACAGCACCGATGTGGCTGCCGGCGACGCACTCATCAATGCAGACGATGAAGTCATTGAACTTTGCAGTTTCCCGCCTGGGTGGTAGGGGCCTTGGAGCGCTGGGGAGGGGAAGGCAGTTCGACTTTCTAGGGTGCCGCTGGGAGTGGGGAGAGGAGGGGGTGACCTGGTTTCCGGGAGTGGGGAGTCATCCGTTTCTCTGCAGCACAGGCCTCTGGCAGTGCTGGCTGGGGCGGGGTGAATGACAGAGGAGCTCAGGCCTGAAAGTCACCAACCCCAAGAGATTCACACCCCTTCCCCTGGGCCCCTAGCCTGGGAGCTCTCGGGGACTCTGACCCGCTCAGATCCTGAGGCACAAGCAAAATCCCACTGAGGCTCTGTGTGTCTCGGGCTCTCTACGTGGGTTTACTTTCAGCACAGAGGGTGGGTTTATCTGTTTTGTCAGAAGATGAAGCAGGCTCAGAGAGGCAAATAAGTTACCTGAAGTTACCAGCTAGAGGGCAGGAACTTGAACCCACCCTGATGGTTCCTCAGCCTCCCCTTTGTCTGCTGACTTCCCTTGGCAGGGCCTGGCACTGTGCCCTCCAAAGGTGGGTTTGCAGCCAGCACAATCGCAGGTGCTCCCTGAGGGTGCAGGGCTCTTGGAGAGTAGCCCACCCATAGCCCCCTCACCTCATTTTCATGACCCAGTTCATGAGGAAGGCCCAGGGACACCGCTGTGTGACGGAACCCACACGGGCCTGCCGAGGCTCCCCAGCCAGTGCTCCCTCCAGGTGGGGAAAGCTGAGAAGCAACCTGTAGACCCTCCCACTTCTCTGTAAACGGCCTGGCTCTGAGCCATTCCATTTGCCAGCAGCCATGCCCCTGGTCAGAGAGGCCCTGAGCACAGGAATACCAGCCGTTTCCCAGTCTCTGTGCCTGGTGCCTCCCTGTGGGAGGGCAGGCTGCTCTAGAGGACTGGCTCTCCAGGCCGATGGGCCCGCACAGAGCTGCTGGCGCCACCCTCCGTGGTGGGCCAGGGCTGGGCCTGGCGGGGGAGCCAGGCCTCACAGTCAGTCCCCTGCCCGCAGTGCTCGGTGGCGCGGAGGTGCGGTGGTGCACTATCTCAGACCCAGAGCAGCAGAAGTGCAGCGACATGAGCAAGGCCTTCAGGGAAGCGGGCATCCAGCCCTCCCTCCTCTGCGTCCAGGGCACCTCGGCCAACCACTGCATCCAGCTCATCGCGGTGAGTCCTCTCCCCTCCGCCCCGCCAGACAAAAGGGCTCTGACTCAGGAGAGAGCACATAACAGCCTCATTCACCGGGAAAGGGGCTGAACTCAGCCGATAGGATCTCCCGAGTCTCCCCAGCAACAAGGCCAGCTTGTCTCCGCCAGGTCCAGGAGGTGGGAGCCTCAGGAGTGCCGCTGCTCAGAGGGGCGCCAGCAAGGAAAGGGGTCTGAGAGGCTTCTCTTCCACAAGGCCCCTGCCGAGGGGCCCCCAGATGGTAGTGACCCCTCAGTGGCCCCAGGTGGCTACTTGCTCACTTTGCCATGGGGCTTTCCAGAAGGGGGCTTGTGTAGTTTCTGGGGAAGGAGGAGCAGGGGCTGGACTCCCAGGTGGGTGAGTATGGGGTAGGAAAGCAGCTCTGAGAAGCAGGAGACCTGCTAAATGACACTGACAATCTTCAAAGGCACCACAAGAGAGGGGCGTGCCTCTGGGGCAGGTGCACAGAAAGCTGGGTTTTCATTCCAGCTCTGCCCCCACTATGCCCCCAAGACCTGCTCCAGTCATAGGCCCACACAGGGCCAAGGCTGTGGGTCAGGCTCCATGCGAGGGCAGAAACCCCACACAGAGATCATCTTCGAGGAAAAAAGCTAGAAAACCCAGGGCAGCAGTAGAGGCGGGGGCAGGGGGAGAGAAATCGAGGGAGACACATTTCACTGCGTGCTGTTTTCTACTATTTGATTTTTAAAATATAATATCTGAGTCCTGCAAAGTCAATGATTAATATTTTTTAAATAACATTACTAGGAAAGCAAGGTGAATCCTTGGCCTGGGAAACGGGGAGAGCCCTGGGCCCTGGTTGGGTTCCTGGGCCAGATGAGAAGGACAGCACAGCCCTCGGGGCTCAGGGCGGGGCCCTAGGCCACCTGGTAGGTGTCCCAAGCTCCCTGCTGATTGTGCTGGCTGGGACAGGTTTGGCTGAGCCACATTTCCTTGCAGGCCCAGGAGGCTGACGCCATCACTCTGGATGGGGGAGCCATCTACGAGGCGGGAGAGGAGCATGGCCTGAAGCCCGTGGTGGGTGAATTGTACGATCAAGGTAGGAGGTGCAGGGGAGGACGGAGGAAGGCGGCTGGAAGTCAGCCCTCCAGGCTGCCCTTGCTGGTCCAGGCCTGACCCTACAGCCCTGAGCTGGTCACCAGCCCTGTCCACACAGCAGTCCTGGAGTCCCAGCCAGACGAATGCCCTGAGGGCATCCTAAGTCTCTCTCAAATTCCCCAGGGGCAAGAGCTCCAGGGACATGGAGAGCTGACCCAAGTCTGCCCTTCCCTCAGGGAGCCCAGCAGCCCCCCAGCCTTTGCTCACTCGGTTCTTACTGAGGGCTCCCCTGTGCCTGGTGCAGCGCTAGGCCTGGTGCTGTTCATGTAACTGCCTCAGGTGAACAAGGCGTCCTTCAGGCCGGGCCACCTGCATGCTTAGGGCCCAGCACTTTCCCTTCCCATGACCTCTGTCACCCTGGACAACCTCACTTCCCGGGCTGTAAAATGGGGATAATAACAAATGCCCTGTCACACGGATTAAATGAGCCAGGCCGTGTGCCCACCTGACATGGGTATGTGCTGGAAAGTGTGAGTTCCTTGGCCCAGTCCCCGCATCACACACAGGACCTGCCCCCAGCTCAGCCTGCTCCTGTGTCTCCCCCACCACCTCTGCTTGGCTGGCGCAACTGTCACCTCCTCCCAGGTGCTCCCTGAGCAGAACCTCTCTTTCCTGTACCCCCATGGCCTCTGCAAGCCTCTGCCTGCTCAGTCACGTTAGTCCCCTGAGGAGGGCCGGTCCTCCCCAGCGTCTAACCTCTGCAACTCCACACAGCATCTCGCTTGGAGAAGGCACTGGCTGGTTCCTTGAATTAGTGATTGTCGTATGCCACATGGCACAGTCCAATCCTGCATACCAGTCAGCCAGAAACAGCCCTGCCTCCCGGGCCGTGCAGCTCTTCCTCTTTAATTAACTCCACACCTGTACTGAGCACCTGCTGCCCGCTGCTCTGGACCACAGAGCAGTAAACAGAGACCTCCTTCCTGCCCTCACACAGCAGAGTAAACCAACCAAAACGATACAGCGAAGCATGTGGTGGGTGCTGTGAGGAAAAGGAAAGGGCAGGACAGAGAAAACTAGGGCTGCAGGAAAACCCACGGATATAGAGCAGGCAGGACGGCGCTCTGGGGAGGTGATGGGTAAGCTGAGCCCCGCAACCATCTCACGCAATTCAAGGAATTGGAAAGAAACAGGGTGGTGAGTCAGAGGATGGTACTAGGCAAAGCTACTTAGGTTGGCTAGAGCCAAACCCTGGTGTGCAAGAAGTAACACTGGCTCTATGTTCTAGAACTCAACTTCATTCTGATCATGGCCTTCCACACCACGGGGCAGTGTGTACGACGTGCATGCCTGTGTGTGTGCACGTTCATGTGATGGGATGCCCTCTGGTCATCAGTTACCGTAACTGAGTCATTTGTGTTTTGCCTGAATCGCCCCTTGGAACCACCTTGGCGCAGGGGAATGTTTTGCAAGGCTGCAGAGCCCTGCCCCACCACACGCACCCTGCAGCCATTCAGGGTCATCGGTGACTGGGGACCACATTGCTAGTTCTCTCTGTGTCTCTGTCTCTGCCTCCATCTCACTCTCCTCCAACCCCCTCAGCACTAGGAAATTGCCTCTCCTAATCGGGAAGCCCCTCCCCTGCTCCTCCCAGCCACTCTTCCTCCCATGACCCTGACACGGTTCCTTCAAACCCTCCGAGTTCTGGGGGCCTAGGCTTTTGGAAAGCGAAGACTTGCTGGCTTCTGCCTTCTGTCCAGCTAAAGAACTCCCCAGATGTGAGCAAATGTGGACCCAGCTAAGCAGCAGCTGCTTGAGAAGGAAAGTGGGAATCAATGAATACATCAACATCTCAGGACTGTGTCTACCTCAAGAGGCTGGAGGGCAGGGTCTCGTATGCGTGTGGATTAAACCCACTTGCTCTCTTGTAACTAGAGCGCTATGCATATGTCCACTTGCACGCCCATGCTCCGTGCACACACTCTCCCACAGCCGTCCCGGGCAGGGCGCTGGTGCAGCCTCCCTGAGGCTGCTCCCTGCTGCCCTCACTGGCTCCCCTCCCATCCTAGAGGTTGGTACCTCCTATTACGCCGTGGCTGTGGTCAAGAGGAGCTCCCATGTGACCATCGACACCCTGAAAGGCGTGAAGTCCTGCCACACAGGCATCAATCGGACAGTGGGCTGGAACGTGCCCGTGGGCTACCTGGTGGAGAGCGGCCGCCTCTCAGTGATGGGCTGTGACGTACTCAAAGGTGAGGGCTTTGGGTTGGGCAGGAGGGTCCCCAGGCCTCCCCTCTCCTTTCCTCGGCCCATGCCTGTCCCTTCACTGGGTAGCCTCCCTCTGGCCTCACCACATACTTTATCCCCGGAAGGCGCAGCCACCCCCCTCCTCCGGGCCGCCCCACTCCGCCACTCTGCCGCCAGCCCTGTGCGCCACCACTTGACTTCCTGCTTGCTTGGCCCCTGTGAGGCACAATTGTTGCTCACCCATGGTGGTGTCCCACACGACATAGCCAGGCACAGGTCCAACCCGCGAATGGGAGGCAGTGAACCTCCAAGGAGTGCTTTCCACTGGCATAAACCTGGCACAGGCCGCTGTGTCTAGAAGCATGTCCTCAGCTTTACAGGACCAGAAATGCTATTTTTTCAGGACCCAAGCAAGGCACTGAATTGCACCCAGAAAGCTCCCAAGTGGCTCATCAGCCCAACCAGCCGTGTAAACCCACACCACACCCAAGAGCGTGGAAGCTTCACCCTCTCAGCTGGTGGCCAGGTGTGGGTGGCTTGTCAGTCACTTGGCATATTTATTAAATATCCACTCCTCTGGGAGGACACAAAAAACCAGGAAGAGGGTTTACTCTGGACAAGCTCAGTCTGGCTGGTGATGAGCATGGCCCAGCTGGCTCAGATGCCAGCAGGGGGGCCTCCTGGCACAGCGCAGGATAAATATTTGTGAGTTTTGGTGCCGGCAGGGCCTGAAGAACCATGCAGGACAGCAGACCCTGACCTCATTCCCTATGAGGCGGGCCACTGCTGCGTTTGCCTCCCTCCGTGTGCTGGAAGTATTGTCTTTCAATGAATGATCCTCCTTCGTAATTCTTTATTTCCCCTTTTTTTTTTTTTTTTTTTTTTTTTTTTTTTTTTTTTTTTTTTTTTTTTTTTTT